CGTCCCGTTGTTGGAGTATTCATGCGCAGATCGATGCAATCATAAGCTGGGCAAGACGATATCAGGGGTCCAAGAAAGCGAGTGTGACGGTGCCAGCCAAACTCAATTGCTTCACTTCTGATGCTCTGACATGAATACCTTCGTTACCTTGCCAAGGTACGAATAAAGGTACCCTGACCTGACTGCCCCCCATATCCACCTACCTTGAGTCCTTACCCCATGCACCTCGCACCCACGAAGAGAAAGTACCCCGGCCTCAGGTGACAGTGATGGATCCCAATCCTTCCAACATGTTGGATTGCGCCAACACCAACAGGTATAGGTGCAGATGCGGTTGCAGATTGCAGACACCCAACGACGCGCACTCACACCCTTTTTGCCTCTCACAGCCCACCTCAGTACCTACCTTGCATAGTGTGTGTGTACGCAGTACGGAGTACGAATGCGCCTTTAAGCCTTGCAGCATTCGCTGAGCCCATTCCCATTCCCATCCATCATTCCATCCCGTCCCCCATCTTTCCTGGCTCAGGTCCTCCCCGCCCGGCCCCGTCGCAATCCACCAATACATCATACCTGGGCAGGCACCTCACCTCGCAATCCCACGTTTCTACCTATCTCCGTGCGCGCCCACCCCCATAACTCCAGCCGCAGCCAATTACTACCTTACCTACTGCTACCACTTACCTCACTACTCCCACCACCACCACCACCACTACTACGGCTACATCCTCACAGCATCACCACCCGAGCGAGCTCACATACCCGACCGCCCGTATATCCTTCCCTTTATAGCATCGCATCGTCCTTTTCCCCCATTGCATTGTTTCTTCTTTCTCGCATGCGTAATCCGTAATCGATCCTAACCCCCGCGCTACCGCTCGAAAATGGCCAAGAAAGCGCGCCAGAGGGTCAGCTATGGTATGTCTGTCGTGTGCATCTTCTGTCCGTGCCGCTTTGCTCTGCTGTTGGTGCTCGTGTGCCCGCTGCGCTTCCGTCGCATGTTGGCTGAGGCCGGCGACCGCAACCCCGCACGTCCGCCGGGACGAGCACCTGGAGTCTTGACTTTGATCGCGAGAGTCAGACCTGTCTGCAGCGTTCCCGAGAATGTCAATGGCCTCGCTTGCTAACCACACATGGTCCAACAGTCCTCGAGCTCCCAGCTGGTTCGCAAGGCGGCGGCCACAGGCTAGGCGTCAATGGCCTCGCCGTCGACAAGGACAATGGTATTCTGTAAGATCCCGCGATCCATGATGCAAACCGTTGCCCTCCTGCTATCACTTACTACAACTCCTCTTCTCTGCGCCGCTACCCGCTGACACACTGCTGCGCTCGCAAACAGATACTCGGGAGCCCGCGATGGCTACATCTGCGCATGGGACCTCAACCTCAACCTCCAGACCGGCGGCAGCGTACCACCCCCCGAGACCAAGACCAAGACCACCTTCCGCTCCCAGACCCAGGCGCACATGGCATGGATCAACGACATTGTCCTCGCTAACAACAACTCCGCCGTCGTCACCGCCTCCAACGACCTGACGGTCAAAGTCTGGCGCCCACACTCCGAGACGAACGATATTGCCGCGACCATTGGAGGACACGCCGACTATGTCAAGTGCGTTGCTACACCCCCTGGCGGCTCCGTCAACTGGGTCGCCTCGGGCGGCTTCGATCGCAAGATATACCTTTGGGACTTGAACGGAGGAGGCAAGACCCTCGAGATCGACACTCAGGGCGACGAGGTTGCGGAGAAGGGCTCCATTTATGCCTTGAGCGTCGGTCACAGCATCATGGCCAACGGTGGCCCCGAGTCGGTTGTGCGCTTATGGGATCCGCGTTCCGGCAAGAGAGTGACCAAGTTCGTCGGCCACACGGATAATGTACGCGGCGTCCTGCTCAACGAGGCCGGCGACAAGGTGCTTACGGCCAGTTCCGACCACACGATCAAGCTCTGGAGTGTCACAGCTGGACGCTGTATGTACACATTCACCATGCACGAAGACAGCGTCTGGTCACTCTTCTCGGATGACCCTGAGCTGGGCACCTTTTACAGCAGTGACAGGTCTGGTTTCGTCGTGAAGACGGACGTCCGCGGCAACCTCGAAGACCTTGACGACGGAATCTCTGTCGCGGTCGCCCACGAGTCTCATTCGATCAGCAAGGTTGTGGCGGCAGGCGATTACATCTGGACGGCAACCAACACTTCGTCGATCAACCGGTGGTCCAATATCGACACAGGCCCCGACTTACAGCTTCCCGAGGCATTCCAACGCCAGCGGGCTGCGTCCACAGCTTCGAGAACCAGACAGCCCTCGAGTCCTCCGCCTGCGAACCCCCCAAAGAAGGAAATCTCACCAAGATCCATCTTGCGCATCTCCAACACGGCAACATTCCCAGTACAAGCCGCTCCTGGCCCAGAATCTCCACCGGCAGTTGGGAATCATGTGCCGCACGGGACCGAGCCTATCAACCAGAACCCGGAGGAGACCATTGAGGGCCAGTTTGGTTTGGTCAAGCACAGGCTCTTGAACGACAGGAGGAGAGTTCTGACGCTCGATACGGCCGGTGACGTTCTCATGTGGGATCTCATCAAGGTATGTTGGCTGCTTGTGTGGCTCGAGGATGAATCACTAACTCCCGCAGTGCAAACCAATCCAAAAGTTTGCAAAAAAGCACCTAGAAGACGTTGAGATTGAAGTCAACACCACAGAAGCTGTGGCTCCGTGGTGCTCTATCGACATCAGCTCCGGAAGTCTTACTGTAGTTCTGGAACCGTTCAACTGCTTCGATGCAGAGATGTATGCGGATGACCTGGAGTTGGAGGAGCCAGTAGAGTTCCGAGAGGACCAGAGAAGTAAGAGATTTGGGAGACTAAGAATGACCATATGCTAACCGACTCCTAGTCAATCTCGGCAAATGGATCCTTCGCTACCTGTTTGCTGGCTTGATCGATGAGGAAATCAAACGCGATGAAGCGTACCGTGCCACGCTCAACGAAGCCGTCGAACGGAGACTACAAGCAAGCCGCGCAAACCCTCCCTCGTCAATAGCGATTCCTACCGACAACGCGTGGGATGAGAGTTCGGGAATGACACCACGTGCGAATGGCTCTCATTACCCCATGACACCTGGCATGGCTATTGGTCTCGCTACACCGGGGGCCTCTGGCCGCCTTCACGACGTGCCAGAAGGAGCAGCCACTCCATCTAGTCCCCTTGACAACAAATCGTCTCAGTTCAGCCGGCCGTCAACCGAGCGAGAAGACTACTTCACAAGTGCCATTGGGCCGATCGAAGGCGCTTCGAAGCCTACCGCAGCACCCGCAACGCCTGCCGAGCAAACGGCAGCTCCCGATGCCAAGACCCCAGCAGACGCAGGCAAAGACAAGGAGAAGGAGAAGGACAGGGAAAAGGACAAGGACAAGGATGCAACCAATGGAAAGTCGCCCAGCACAGCGTTCGGCAAGAAGTTCCGCATGGGCATGGGCATGTCTTTTGGTAGCAAGAAGAGTGGACGATCGGCGTCGACTACTGCGCCGGAGAAGCCAGCTGTGGTGGACGAGAAGGCTGAAGAATCCGAGGCATCATCAACCCACGAGAAGGAGGTTGATGACAGTTTCCTGGGCGCCATCCAGAAGATTCGCAATGATTACGACAAGTCACTGACTGAGAATCCCGAGAAGCTCATCGAGACAAAGGTTACGCCAAGCTTGGCAAACGACACACCAGTGCTCAAACTGCCTCCTGGTACAAAGGTTGTCCTTCAAGAAGAGACAACTGGTGGAAGTGCCAACATCTATCAGGGTACTGTTGAGACAGTCGGCCAGGGGGCGGATATCATTGAGCAATGCGGCCCCATGTGGTTGGGCGAGGTGCTGCTCCAGAATCAGATCCCTATCAAGGAGCCTGTTAAGGTCTCATTCGTCCTTCAGCCATGGCAGAACAGCTTGCCTGACATTGCAACAACGGATGGCAACAATCGCCTAAACGCCAATAGGATGCTACGCGTTAAGAAGATTTTGGCCTATGTTGCGGAACGCATCGATCCCCAGCCAGAGAACCCAGAACCGGATGCTCTCCTGCCTCATGAGTACTTGGAGCTGTATTGCAACGAACAGGTAAGTGCCCCATGCATGCGCCCTGCTCGATCTCTGCTAACCTGGCTTAGTTACTACCCATCACAATGACCCTTGCAACCCTACGAGCTCACATCTGGAAGGGTGGCAATGACGTTCAGCTTCACTACAAGGCAAATGGGCGCAAGGAAATCAAGGAGATTAAGGAGGCTCCCAAGGCGGAACCCGAGCCTGCAGCGGTAGCACCGTCAGCAGCGGAATCTGACCCTGCACCATCGACAGGCACCGCAACGCCTCCAACGACAGGATAGTCTCTGTCTCGAGTGGTAGGGTGGTGGCAAGGGAGACCACATTTCCAAGTGAGCTTGCAAAAGATGCAGCTGCCGCAAAGCTTCAAAACCATGAGTGTGGTAAAGAAAGCCGACCAAGAGCAGTACATGCAACGTGCGCCATCTGAACTTACTCCGCCACGATCATGGGGGACATCTACGGCTGCCTCGGCTTCGCGATAGTCTCGAGTGGTGGACAGGGTGCGGCCGACCAGGGAGTGCCACTGGCATAGAGATGGCACATGGACCACAAAGTACAAGTGGGCATTTTCGTCACGAGAGTTGCATGTTGCTGTACGACGTGAGTCAAATGGCCATGGCCTGTGATGTCTAGTCAGCACGGGTATAATGGCGTTTTTCAGTGATGTACATAGCGGAAAAGTTGTCAAGTCGCAGGCAGCCCTTCTGGCTGCGTGCTCGAAGCGTATGTTTATACAGCAGGAGGGCAAGTTGAGGGCCCCCAAATACAGAAATTCTTTTTCCCTTTTCACATGGCCGGTTTCGCCGTCTATCCAGCGCATTACACGTCGCGCGCCTCTATGCTTGTTTGCGCACAACCACGTCCCATCACACACCCAGAAACTCTTGGAAAGATATTATTATATCACGGCGCCAGTCAAGGTGTTTGACGCAAACTGATAACTGCCGAGGAAGATGGACCCCCCGATGCTGATCCACATGACCCTTGGCCCGATACCCGCAAAGAAGGGTCGGATCCCGTGCTCCTTGTAAATCGTCCTCAGGATATCGCCAATCTTTTCCTTCTGCTGGCTCAGCATCACCCTCGTCTTGAGCACGTCGAGCGGGGTCGTGATCCCGGCCGCCGCGGCGCCGGCCACGCTGCCGTACAGCGCGCTCTCGACGGCGCTGACCTCGTACTGCGTTTGTCGGCGGGTGTTCGCCCCCGTGGCCGGGTCGATGTCGAGCTTGTAGTTCTTGGCCTGTTTGCGCTCGCGGCCCCAGCGCTTGAGGCGTTCCCAGAGGGGGAACTGGATTATGGTGAAGGGTACCTCGCGGAGGACGGTGATGGACCAGCCGCGGTAGAGCTCGCGCCAGACGGCGGAGAGGCCGTTGCGTCCGGTCGGGGAGGAGTATTGGGAGAGGATGGAGCGGAAGGCGAGGAGGGAGGAGCCGCCGTGCTGGCCTGCTTGGGCGCGCTGTTTTACGACTTCGGTGGGGACGCGGATTGCGCAGGCGGCGATTTCGCCTAGGGAGGCGGCGAGCATGTGGGTTGCTGGGTCGATCCAGGCTGGTTTGGTCACCGACGCTTCCCCTGTTGGTGATGATGATCCTGAGAGCGCGAGGAGGCGGGAGTGTATGAAGGATTTGGAACCCTCGTAGGTGCAGAAGAAGAAGGCGGCGCCGGGGGCCGAGCCGACGACGGCGGAGCCGATGCCGCGGTAGATTCCGGTGAAGCCGCCGGAGGGGAAGAAGCCGGCCGAGGACTGGAGGCGGGTTTTGAGGGTGTCGAGGGGGAAGAGGGTTAGGTCTACTGTTGTGCCTGCTATTCCGCCTGCTAGGAGGGATGTTGTGAAGGAGGGGGATTGGTTTGTGGTGGACATGGTTGCGGTTTTGGTGGGTTGTGGGAGGTGGTTTATGTGAGGAGGTAGATCCGTAGAGAGTCTTGCTTCTTCTTTTCTCTCTTACTGCCTTCGATGAGGTATGGCTCGGGGGGTGGTGGTAGCTTCGTGGAGTTCGAGATGTTTGTGTCGCGTGCTCGGGATTGCGCCGAGGATTAGGAAGTTGACGGATGTAAACCGAAGGCAACCGAGCAAAGGTCAATTGAGTTGGATATGCAAAAGAATGGAAGGCCGAGAGGGAGGAGGGCCGAATGCTATGGACAACGGCGAGTGCATCCGCGCAAATGAAGAGGGAGAGAACACTTGGAGTGAATGACGGAGGAGATGAGATTGGTAGGTATCGTGAGGTATTAGATATCGGAGCTCAGTCGGTCCCTGTACGTAACGCGACAGAAAAAAAATGGGCAGGGGTCTTTGCGCTAGAGCTCCGACTCTCCGAGGTCTGCAATGCTCTCGCCGCTCGGTGAGGTGGGTTATCAGCGAGCGCGGGGCCCGGGGGAGCTCTCTTACCTTATCCTTATCGCTGCTCCCTGACACAACCAGCTTGGGAAATCTTTCCTCCGAAGAGCCCGAGCTCACATGTTCCGGTACATAGTGGGGGACTTGCTCGGGTGAAAGCTCCATTTCTCTTATCCCATCGTCACGTTGGAGACTGTCAACCGTTGATTCGTCAATTGCAACATCCTGGAAACTGAAACCCACGATAGCTTCATCGAACTCGAAACACAGCACAGAACAAAACCACAACAGCATAGAGGCGATGGAATGGCCCTCACCAACCCCCCGATCGCGACCGCAGCGGCGACCGCAACAGCAGCGGCGGCGGCGGCAGCCCACCACCTCATCCTCCACCCGGTCCCGAAACCCATAACCTTTCTCGAATTCTTCGACGCCCTCCGCGCCGCCACCCCGCCGCGCTTCCCACACGCCCGCACCGCCCAGCCGCGCCGCATCGGCCTCGCCGTGTCAGGCGGCGTCGACTCCATGGCCCTCGCCTACCTCTTTAACCAGCTGCGCGAGATCAACCCCCTCATGCGCGTCGTCGATAACCCGCTGGCAAAAATATCAGCCTACGTCATTGACCATGGCCTGCGCGAGGGGTCCCGCGAGGAGGCTCTGGCCGTCGTGAAGGAGTTGCGGAATTTCAAGCATATCCGGCCGCAGTGGGACACGGTGAATTGGAAGGCTGAGGGTGTCACGGGCGATCCGAATCTGTTGCCCAACGTCGAGAGCCTCGCGAGGAGGGTGCGGTACAGGCGGTTGGGCACGCTGTGTCTTGCGATGCACGTTGAGAGTATCTTTCTTGCGCATCATCAGGACGATCAGTACGAGACCGTGCTGATGAGGCTCCTCGCCGGCCACGGCAGCCGTGGGCTAAGAGGGATGCTTAAGGCCGGGAATATACCAGAGTGCTACGATATGCACGGCGTCTACGAGAGCGGACACGTCGACGACCAGATGATGCGCATGCCGCAGATAAGCTTCCGCCCGCCGAAACGGGATTGGAGGCACATGCGGCGACAGCTCGTCTCGGAGCTGGATCTGGAGTTATACGGCGCCGAGCTGAGGGCGGGTCTACAGACGGGGTGGCATGAGGGCCCTTATGTCGGCGGTGAAGACGACAGCTCTGGAAGCGACTGGCTCTTCTCCGCTGCGAGTTCAGCGTCCGCGAAAGCGAGGGCCGCGGCGGCGGCGCGGAACACGACGAGGATACGCACCGAGGATGCCGGGGTGATGATCTATCGCCCGCTGCTCGAGTTCAGCAAGGACCGGCTGATTGCGACGTGCGAGGCGAATAACGTGCGCTGGTTCGAGGACGCTACTAATAAAGACGTGACGCTGACGACGAGGAACGCGGTGCGGCACATGGTGCGAAATCACCGTCTGCCCGTGGCGCTGCGCAAGGAGAATGTGCTGAGGATGTCGGCGCGGTGTGGGGCGAAGCTGAGGGGTCTGGAGCAGGAGGCTGAGCGATGGATCAAGAGGCAGGCAGTGGCAGAGTTTGAGCCGAATGTCGGAACGCTTGTCATTCGGCTTCCTGACCTGGGTGTCTTTGGACCTGGTCCCGGACGCGGGCGCGAGAGGGGCAGGAAGTCGGCGAACGACGGCGTAAGGAGGGAGCTCCGGCTCGCGCATCGGAGGGCCGTCGCGGGGTACGTCGTAAAAAGACTCGTGGCCTTCGTCTCGCCCGACCGGAACCCGCCTCAGCACACGTCCCTCCAAAACATCGTCGCCAAACTCTTTCCCACCCTTGTGGAAGGCTCTCTCTCAATTTCAACACCTCCATCGGTACCAAGAGCCTTCAATCAAGCCTCCATCCTCTTCCTCCCCCTCGCCCCCTCGAAATGGTACCTTGTCCGCGAACCCTACCCCTCCTTGCACCCGCTCCCGCAAACGACATTCACGACGACCTCCAACATCAGCGACAAGCACCGCCACCCGACCTTCCCGCCCACGCAGTGGGAGTCGCCTGAGGACGCAGAGTACATGTCGCGAGAGCGGCTCGCCGCACTGGACCGCCTGCCGCTCCCGCAGCCGCGGTTCCGCGAGACGAGGAGGTGGTACGCCTGGCGGCGCTTCAAGCTCTGGGACGGGCGGTTCTGGATCCGGGTGAGGGGGCGGGTCAAGGCGTATTTCCGGATCGCGCCGTTTGCGCCGATTCACGGCAAGGCTTTTCGGGAGGGTCTTGGCGGCGGTGGGGGTGAGGCTGCCGCTGCTGCTGCTGACGGTGTAGAAGAGGGGCAGAAGCAAGACAGTAAAGACAAGGAGGAAGAAGTGGTTCACGCCGCGCCTGGACTCGGCATTACTGGCGGTCGCGGCAGCAGCAGCGGCACCACTATGAGCGCCGCCGAGCGCAGGGCAGAGTTTGAGGGCATACTGAAGCGTTTCGCGCCGGGTAAAGTGCGGTATACGCTGCCGGCGCTGTATGCCGTCAACCGCGACGAGAAGACAGGCGAGGAGGTGCTGAGGATGCTTGCCCTACCGACGTTGGGCGTTGGATTACCTGGCCTCGAGAGGTGGGTTCAGTATGAGGTGCGGTACCGCAAGGTCGATATGGGCCTGTTTGAGCGCGAGATGATGGGTGGTGGGGGTCGTATACGACAGGGACGGAGCGGTGGCGGGAGTAGTAGCGGCAGTGGGAGTGGCAGTGGAAGTGGTGGTAGAAGCCAGAGCAGCAGCGGCGCCTCCATTGGCGGCGCTGTGTTAAGGAGGCATGTTTTGGCGGATAGCACGGCGGAGGAGAGAGTTTGGAAGCGGATTAGCGGAATGAGAAGGAAGAAGAGGATGATGACGGCGGCGATGCGGAAGAAGCAGGCTGAGGACAAGGAGACGAGAGCGAGTGTTGGTTTGAGGTCTGCTTGACGAGCTTGAGATACCCCCCCTTATTTACTTACATTTGCCTACTTTTACCTACATTTACCTACAGTCATCTATGAAGTCGTGATGTATGAGGAAGGATGAAACCCAGTCACTGTGAGAGCGAAGATGGATGAAGAGTGTCAGTGAAGTTTGATTGCTCTCATTTATATTTCAAGTATGAGAAAGGAAATAGAATGCTCGAGGTTTGTTGATTTCGCCTCGTCGGCATTGGCCAAGAAGATTGCTCAGTTCATCTTTGCTGAGCTTCCTCATCCATGAAAACGCCGTTGAAGTCCATTCCATCCATCCATCGTAACGACAGGTATTAAGGTATATATGCCCTTTTCCTTCCCTCTCTTTTTGCTCTTATAGCATAGTAAGACCACGCAGACTTGCGCAATCGTTTCGTCCACGTATTTCCCGCATACATGGTGACGACATCTATCCCAACCCCCTTTCTATACCTCAGAAGAAACAAGCCTGTTTTGGCTTACTTCTCCTCCCCGATGATAAGAACCTCATCGCCAGACACACTCCCCAACGAAACCTGACAGTTCCACGCCTGGCCCTTGTGAGCGTGCACGGCCTTGGGCCACTTTGTCCGGCTGTCAATCTTAACATCCTTACCGAGGACGTTGATCTTGCCGCTGATGCTCTCGGCCTCGACGGTGCCTTCCCAGGAGGCAGGGTACTTTAGCTCCATGCTCCCGCTGACGGAGCCGTGCGAGGACTTGAGGTGGCGCATGGGGGGTTGGTCCTTGATCGAGACGGCGCGCTCCTGCTCAGAAGATGCCGTGATGGCATCACCCAACGGGTGACGACGAACCTCGCGCCAGGCGTTGTCCAAGTGCCGACCGCCAGGCAACGGGATGCGCTTCCACGGTCCGGCGCCGATGGGCGTGAACGGCACGCCCGGCATACGCGGGATCTTATCCGGGATAGGAAGTGGGTTCGTCGGGATATCGACGGGTTCATCCGGGTTCGCGCGGGGCTTCTCGCCTTCGTACGCGCCCTCGGTGCCGAGGATCTCGACCCAGATGGGCTCGAGGATCTTCACGGCCGTGTTGCCGGATTTCGTCTTCGTGTGCAGCTCGGGCTCCGCGACGGCCTGGAGGAGGCTCACGTTGTAGACGGGGAGGAACTCGGCGGCGATGTCGCCGCTGATGCTCTCGGCGACGGCGGCGGACGAGAAGGCGACCCAGGCCTTGATGGAGCCGGATTTGGTGTCGATGGAGGTGATGTAGTCGCGCGGCGGGACGACGGTGTCGGGTTTGCTGCTCTCCGCGGCGGCGGCGAGGGGTTCTTTTACGGTGATGTCGCCCGAGATGGTGGCGACTTCGAGGACGGCCGGGCGGGGCCGGGAGTCGAGGACTTGTTGGGGCGAGACGTTTGCGATGATGTCGCCCGATTCGGAGTTGATTTTCAGGGAGTCGTAGAGGGGCCAGGAGCCGATGATGTCGCCCGAGATGGTCTTGACGAGGATGTCGCGGGAGTTGAGGTGGTATGTGGAGGGGACCTCGACGGGGGAGTGGACGTCGCCGGACATTGTGCCGATCTCGAGGCCGTCTGCGAGGTTGACGGAGAGGTCGTCGACGACCCGGACGTCGAGGTTCATGGCCATGAGGAGGACGTGGCGGAGGGAGGCGCCCTCGGGGACCCAGACGGTCGCGCGGACGGTCATGCAGGGCCGGCGGGACTGGGTCCATTCGATGCGCTGCGGGGTGCGGATGATGAGCTGCTGCTCCGAGTTCCACTCGACGGAGACGTCTAGGGCCGGGTCGTTGGAGACGACCTCGAGCTCGATCGAGGGACCGGGGCGGCCGGCCTGCTGGCGGCGGACCACAAAGTCGCCCGAGACCTGGGGCTGGTAGCCGCGGGAGGGGGAGTCGTTCTCGACGGCCTGAAGGACGCTGATGTCCTTGTCGGCGGCGAAGGTGAGGTCGAAGAACTTGGGCTCGAAGCGGTGCTCGGTTTGGAGGCATGTGCTCGATGGACGCCAAGGGACGGCTTCGCCAGGCTCGGCGGGTTTGGAGGGGTCACTTGGCACGGGAGATCCGTCTTTGATGGGCAGTCCAGTGACGGGGTCATATTGCTGGGGAGGCTCCTTGGCAGGAGACTTTTCAGATGGCTACAGGTTGTTAGTTAGCTTCATGTAAAGGTAGTAGTAGGTGCAGATGTAGATGGGAGTTGCGACGCACCGCATTGATCACAGTCGAGGCCAACATGCTAAGGAATCCCGTCAAGGTGAAGAAGACCAAGGCGGCAAGCAGCACCATTTTCAGCGTCCGCCTCGAGGCCCAAGGGAACTTCTTAAGAGCTCTGTCCTTCCACGATGGCGGAGGTCTAGGGTCATGGTCGTCGTCATTGTCATCATAGGGCACGTCGCCCATGCTCTCGGGGTCGCGGCCAAGCAGGCGCCTCTCTTCTTCAGGTGCGCCCATGTTGATGTTGTTGTTGTTGGCCGTCCTCGAGATGGTGTTGAAGGTCTGATAGTTTCTAAACTCTGTGGGTGATGACGAGAGCGGGGACGTGGGCGATGGCGTGTAGGCGGGTGGTGCCTCGCTGGGGATGCGAAACAGAGAGGCCGGGTTGTTGGAGGAGTATCTCGAGTGAGTCTGGGGCGTGCGCAGTGGAGCGTCTGTGGAGGGCGAGTAAGGCGTATAAGACGATGAGCTCTGGGCGGCGTGGGAATGTGAGTGAGAGTGGGAATGGGAGTGGACGTTGGAGGTGTAGGTTGTATGTGATGGCGTCGCCTCGCTGTCTGCGGCGGTAGAAGAGGCCCCGTCGTCATAAAAGTCGTCGATGGCCGAGACGGATGACGAGGTCCTCCTATGTGTTGAGGAGTAGTGACGTGATTGTGCTTCTACGTTGTCGTCGTCGTTGTTGGGGTGGTGTTGATGGAAGGATGTGTTCAACCTTGTCTCTTCCTTGGCTTCGCGGTCCTTCTTTGACGACGAGGAGCCTTGCTCTTGTTGCTCTCGCTGCAGCAGCGAAGGGTCTTGGACGAGAACGTTGGGCACATGCGGCACGGCGGCGGACGTGGGGAACGTCGTCGCGTCAGTGACGTTGTCCTCGCTGTTGTGGAAATGAGACTCTTGCTGCTGCGGAGGGTATATTCCCCCGGCTGACAATGAAGTGCTGCTTTGGAAGTAGCCGTCGGTGGGCGAGAGGTGGGCGTCGAAGCTGTCGTCCGGGACTTCGTCAAAGTCGGAGTCGTCGGCGGAGTACAGGTTGTCGGAATACGGGGCCGGCATGGCGGCGGCTTGTTACTATTTCAGTCCCTTTGATCCCTTCTTTTTTGTCTTCTGACAGAGTCCCCTTGGGGCCCTTGGGGGATTGTCTGTGCTCTGTGGGATACAACCGTTTTGGAGTAGGTATAACGTTTTGTTCCCTTCGTTTGGTGGTTCTGTTTCTTAATGCCGGGTCACCTAACGTTTGAGCTTTGCCCCTTGGGACAGGGCACTCTGAGTCTCTGACGGGGTAGACGGGGGCAGTCTGGCACGCCAAACAGTGACAGCAAGTGACAGCGACTGAATCGTGAAGGGGACTTGGCTGATACGCGCAGTGTCGAGGGCAACGGGTAGAACGGACGCCAAGAAACGGAGTCAAACAGTTTCGGCGACGGGGCTCTCGTTTGCTTCAGAGCTTCAGCACCCCTCTGTGACCGTGAGTAATGCCGTTGCTGTTGGCTGACTGATCAAACAATGTATGAGTGAAGTATCTCTCTCGCGTGTCAGTAGATGATTGCACCTTGTCAATGACAACAGAAGAGACACGCGCGCCGACGTAAGATGAGTGATAATAGGAAGGAGGGCACAAGTCGGGGCCACGAAGAAGTGCGCGTTCACGCTCGATTGAGGTAAGCCGGAAGGGGTACGATGGGAGAATAGAGGGGAAAGTTACGAATACCGCAGACGAGGGACGAAGAAGAGAGAGTGGGAGAGATGGAGTTGAATGGGATTGACAGGAATGGCTTCACAGAAAGAGGCTAGTAGGAGTTGAGTCGGAGCCGAGATTGAGACAACCTCGCAGATACTCAGAGACAAAGTGAGAGAGAGGGAACCCCCAACCACCTACGGATACACGAACGAACTGCAATCAGAATCCACAAGACCGAACCCGGTCGGGTCGCCGAAGACGCAAGACAAGCGTGAACAAGGCAGACGCCGCTGCCCGCACGCCGTCCCCGGCGGGCCTGCACCCGATACGGTGGAAGGATTCACTCGACATCGCGAAAGAGGGGGGGCAGACTCGTAAGCTTGCAGATCAGGGCAACGATATGAGACCAAGTAACAGCACCGCGGACAACGGCAGTGTCGGGGACTTGATTTGCTACCAAGCGCAAGATGCACATTGCATGGTGTGAACCATCTCAGTCTCTCTTCGCCCCCTGGTACCTAGTCAGTCCTGCAGTATCCGCAGAGCAATTGTCTCCAAGTCACCAAGTCCATGGCAGCACGGCTTCTTGACTCTTCTTTTGCAGCTTTGCTTGCGTGACACGCTTGTTGTGCAGCCAAACGAAACAGGAAGCTCGTTAAGGACGGTGGGGAACCTAGAAGTATGGAAAGGCAAAAGTCAATTGAGATTATTGGATAACGGCTATCGAGTGGAGAAGAAGCGTGAAAAAGTAAGACGAGCACAAGTTCCTCGTCCAGCAAGGATGGTCGTGGACTCGTTAGTGACTTGTTGATGTGAGGTGACTGAATAAAGTTGGATGCGCAATCTGACAAGCTCCAAAAGATTGGACTTGGGGGAAAAGAGGCAGTGGAGCAATGTTGGCCCGATCTTACACCGACAAAAGTACCCAAGTCCAACGTCTACAGCAGTACGTATCCGGAGATAGCTACTGTGGTAAAGTACCTACCTTATCTCAAGGTACATTCGGCCCACGTAATTAGCTCGCAACAAACAAAGTTCCTTCCAGTATTTCCCCCCTTCGATGCTTGTCCAAGTAAGTCACCCCCTACCAGCCTCGGCTAGTCCCTCCGAACCAACCTATGGTC